TTAAGATTGGTTGAAATAAAAAACTTGGATAGAAAGAACAACAAAAATCAAAATTGGCACATGTTCAAAATTGCTCACGAACAGTGTGTTTGTGTCAGTTAGGAATTGGGTCATTTAAATTAATTAGAAAAATAAATTTTGTGATGTATTTGAACCTGCTATTTTTTCTGTTCTTTTTAAAACACTCGAGTCGCCATATTGTTTATTTATATGTCATTGTATAACTTTATTGAAATAAATCTCTCTCTTGAATCATATTAATGATTCAAAGAGAAGAGAATCGAAAAAGATGATATACGACAACAAATAGACAATCAAATAAAAAGAAACAAATGAAAGACTTATATGTGGGTAATCCTTGTGTGATGAGTCGAGAATATACGTCTGAACAAGATCAGGTCGAAGCACCTCAAAACACAACATCTATGAAGAGAATCCCTACATAAGCCACCCATTATGAAAGAACCGAAAAGAATATTTTTGTTTTGTGGTTGAGTCTCCAGAGTCTCTCAGAGGAACATGACCCTCTAGTTAATTACATCCTAGGGATAACCATGAGTACACTAAAAAAAAGGAGTTCCCCTTATATTATCATGAACCTAGAGAATATGTGATCAAAAAATGGTAATTTTGTATGGGAAGATCTCAATATTTCAAAGCTCTGGCTAAGCCACAGGATAGAGAGTGAGTCTCTCACATTCTAAATGGGCAGCAGTTTATCAACATTAGAACCTACGAAATAACTAAAATCATCTCAATGGGATATCCCTATACATCAGAGCTCATCAGGCCATAAGAGCATATGGTGAATCAAACCATCAAGATGATATCAACGAATTCAAAGGAGTGACATGGCTCATAGAGGCTCGACAATCAAAAGGGTAGAGTAATCCTAAAAGGTATAGGTAGCCGAGTTAGGGTACCATAGACCCATTATCCCATGCTACTAGGACCCTAAGTCGATCTGATCATGAAGGTAGTTGACTCAACAAGTCCAAGGATCTCTGGTCAATAATACAAGCATTGTTTCATCCACGAGGACCTCGGTATCCTTAAGATAGAAAGAACAAAACCCTATCTCATGACTATGAGTGGAGCTCCAAGAGGCGGGCCGTATATCCGTCGAAGAGGTGCAAAAGTCGTAGGAGAGGAAGAGAAAGGGAGGTTTAGCTACAAGGCTTAATACACTCCCAACAAAAGGACATACACCCTTCTGGGTCAGGAGCCTTCTAATACGCCAAGCACAATCGACAACCACTTAAGTAAAAAATCAATGTTGGGTCAGTCAGGTTGGAAAAGCACAGGGGGCTTCTCTTCATGACATGCAATATGATGTAGTGAGGTATTTAATCTTAATATGAAGGTTGTATTAAATATGATGGAGGTGATAGCCATTGATGCGACCCATTTAAAATCCGGCTCTCAAATGCCATGTAGGAATGTAAAAGTATGAATTTTAAAGTTCTGAATGTTTTAATCCTAAAATTTTCATTATTTTGAATATTTTAATATGATTTTATTGCAAATTTAGAATTTTAAATCATAAAGAGCCTATATTGTATTCTTGATTCTCAGACAAACCACAAAAAGAAATAATGAAATCCATTCGAGCATGCAAGCATACAATAAAAAAAAAAAAAAAACCAAATTCAAATAATAAGAAGGTCGGTACCACTAAGTCGTCAATATATTCCATAAAAGAAAAGGTGGCCAGATTTCACGTAACATGCCTGGTCCAAAAAAATTATATAAATATTAAATATGGAATTAAGATACGGGACTCAAGCAACTGCTCCTTGTCCCCCACCACATGAATCCCGCTTCAAATACCTTAGAACCTATGCCTATATCTTACTTCTGCTATAAGACTCTCCTAAAGAATCCAAAAAGTATAGAGAAGAATAAAAAAAGATTCGGCCAGCACGGAAATATGTTAGTAGGAAAGCCAAATACCATGCAATGTATAATGATTCGTGTCTTTTTAATGGAGAAGCTAAGTAACACTTGCAAGCAAAGAGTTAGTAGAAATCATCACATGCTCTCCCTTCCAGTAGTAACTGTTTGTGTGCATATATATAGGTGTGACTCTCTGCATAAGAACACCCTAATATACTACCATACATATCAAACACACAAGCACACCAACAAAAGTGATGCTTGGCTAGCACAAACAAGTTAAAAGAGAACAATAGCCAGAGGCATCGAAAAAGCTACCTAGCATCCTTGCGAGCAATGCTAGTTTGAGTATCATGAAAAACAAGCGGTTCACTGTCCTAACAAGCAGGACAGACCATCAAGGCGAATGGGCAAGCATACAATCATGCAAGAAGCTCATATTTTGATTGTTTGATTGAAGCATGAAATAATCACGATGGTCACACAAAAGGGCAAAGCACACATCATACAAATGAATGCAAAGATGCTACATGCAATGTGACACACACAAACAGGATGTACCGGTAAAACATATTTCCTATGGAAAAGAATTATATGTGCTCAGAAGACTAGGGGCACCATGCAACAAGCAGGCACCATCTACGAGTGTGTTTGCATCAAGTAAAAGGATACCAATGAAAATGATTTACATCCCACCCGAGAGGCACTCACCGAGCAGACATATAAACATGAAAGATATGCACAAGGTAAATGAGACAAGTCAAGCATATGACATACAACTGGCAAACATAAAAAAATGCTAAGCGCCAAACATACTTAGTGATGTGATCCTTACAAGTGAGAATCATAGACCCAGGTGGACAAATATTATGCTTCGCACGAGTTCAGTGGTTACGAAGCATGACTTGTGCTTGACATAATGTGAAATACCTACAACACTCTAGGCAGCTTCGTAGGGAGTTAGATAGATGGCTTATAAGGGAGCTAACTCCTGCCAAAGGGTGTAAGTGTCCATCCCCGTAAATGTCGTATGTGGGGAGAAAATTTACAAGTGTGGGTACGCAAAGAGGCACCACAAGCATGGATGTTCCAAGAGATATCCAAACATGTCACATGTAAAACATACAAGAAAAAAATATTCTACATGCAATGAAATACATTGTAGACATAAAGTCAAAAGATTTTTCAAACATATGCAAAGAAATGTGCAACATGCAAGAAATCATACGTGCATGCAAGTGATAAGTCGAACGGGCCGTGGCAACCGTCCAAACCGAAACGGTGGGTCGATCAATCCGGGACAATCAATAGGACCCAAAAGAGTGGGTGATCGGCCTAGGACGACCGATCAGACAAAAAGTGGGTGATCGAACGAGAGAGGTTGATCGAACCCGAAAGATCGAGCCGAGGCAATCGATCAAAATATGATTATATTATGCTGGTTTGAGAAGAATAGTTTGACATTTGTAAAAAATAAAGAAGAAGGCTTAAGGACAATACTCGTACCCAAGCTTTGATACCATGAAGACTGGTATAGAAAGAAAAAAAAAACCCAAATGACAAAATTACATTCAATGATGTAACTTTCATTTCATTTTTATCATGTAGTCTTAATTGCAATGCAATGTATATATAGCTAAAGGTATACTACAAAAGGAACATTTCGGATAGATTTCAGAGTTGGTTATGCTTTAGAGCAGTGAAATGTGCATTCGACAGTGTGATGTTGGTTTCTATGGGGACCTTGTGGTTGTTATAAATATTTAATATATCGGTTATATGATCAAGTAATCTCAAATTCTTACATGTTTATGCTAACTTAAACGCCTAAATGAGGAGATTCTAACGAGCAAAATATTATTCAATTTTAAGGTCATTAAGACACATAAATACTAAAAATACTACCATTGATAAACAAATCAATAAAATTCATCCAGAAGTATTTTTTGTGATTTTTGGTTAGATTTATCAAAATGTCATGCCAAAAATATTAATAGAATCATATTTTCCACATGGATGAAACTTAAACTTGAGTTCTAAGAGAACTTAGAGCTCTATCTAATGTTTTATACCTACGAATAATATTAACACCGTCATTATTTGATTGCTGTCTCACATCTATCACTCAATGCCTTACCGTTGTCATCTAGCCACCCCGACTCAACAATCATAGTCTATTCACCATTGTTGGCCTTTGTTGTCAAAAAATTATCATCTATTCATCATCGTCGGACCCAAATCATTCAACAATTCTTATCTTACCATCACTGTCTAATCATCGTCTCTTATTTAATATCTCCTAGGCATCATTGTTATTTATCTAGTACCCTTTCTCTGGGATAATTACATGTGATCAAGCTTGAGTGCATAACTCTTTAATAATAATAATCAAATGAAACCATTAAAAATCATTATTCTTATGTATTGCATGTCAATTTCCATTATTAATGATGTAATTTCATAAACAATAAAATATTTCTCGATATTATAAAACTAGTCATATATAAATAAATTTATTGCTTTTTTTATAATCTTAGTTTATATAAATATTTTCAATTTCGAATAAAAAATTTAATGCTAACAGTTAAAATAAGCTCTAATTTTTGGAATGTGAACGTAACTTTATATGTATACTAATATATACTTTTCATAAATTAATATTTGAGCCGATACTAACCATCAAAATTAATTGAGTTTTATTAAGGCCAACAAAAAATTAGCAACTTTTGTTAGGTCAATCTAAATTTAGAATTAAGAAAATTACGCTGAAACAATTTCATTAAAAATTCATGAACTTTAATTAAAAGGATAATTTTGTAAATCCCAATAATTGCGCGAATTTTACGTTGGCCCATCAATACATATTTGTCTCAATCAAAACTTTATAAGATTAAAAACATTATGACCACTCTTGTAAGTACATACTTACAAAATACTCTATCAATCTTTGTAAGTACATACTTATAGAATATGTAATATTATGAAGACATCTCATTTATTGGTGATGTGGCGCTTCGTGGTTGATCTTTCGGACATCAAGAGGCAATATTTTCTCCTATAAATAGGCATGTAAGGGTATCCATAGTTGTCATCCTGGACAAGCAGAGAGGTCAGGCGTGATCATCAAGTAGATGGCATCCTCCTACGCGACGGCTTCCAAGTGGTCGGCGAAAGAGGACAAGGAGTTTGAGAGGGCTCTGGCGACGTACGGGGAGCAAACACCGAACCGTTGGGAGAAGGTGGCGGCGGCCATCGGCGGCGGAAAGACCGTGGCCGACGTCAGGCTACACTATCAGCTTCTCCTCGACGATATAAACAGCATTGAGTCCGGCCTCGTCCCCTTTCCCAACTACCGTCCACACCCCTCTCCGCCTACCGCAGCCGCCGCCGCCGCCTCGTTTCTCAATGATGATCGCCAGCGGTAAATTTATTGCAAAAATGTCTTTTTCCGTGATCTTTCTGTTTTAATTTATGGATGTGGTTCTTCTTTTGGGATTCCTCCTCTGTTGTCTGTTTTTTTGGCTACTGATCATGCGGAGTTTACTTTGATTTTTGCCAATTTCTTTCCTTTGTTTTGGAATAATTACATACAAACCAACTATTATAATCACTATAATCTTTTATATTTGTTCGTATATTATAATATCAAACATTATGTATTATAACATCATAATCTTTAAAACAGACCAAAAATAACATTAATATTAATTTGTTATGCATAAATTTTATTATGATTTAGACACTAAAAAGATATAATTAGTGAATTAAACATTATATAATAACTTATGGTAGATTTGCAAAAAGTAAACAACCTCCTGCGTATATCTTTTGTATTTTTGTCACTCTTCTGCGGGTATGTTTTAACATTGTCTTCATCCTCTCGTTTTCATTATCTTGTTCTGAGCATCTTGTGACATGAAAATTTTAAGTTTACATCATTGCATGCATATTTGTCCTTTCCTAAATTAATATTCCCAACGTAGTGGTTCTAACATATCTTTTGACTGAACGAACAAATTACAGCAAATTCCCTTATCTTATTAAAAGATTATGCCAAAAGGCATGGTGGGTAACAGGGTAAGGGTGTAAATGAATGAATGCACTTTATGAATAATTTGAACTCGACTTGATTAACACTCGAATCATGTTCGTTCAAATTAGTTAATAAACAAGTTTGAACAAGTTTTAAAAGCTAGAAGCCTATGTGAACTAAACACGAACATAGTCGAGCGAATTCATTTTTATTCACGAACAAACTCGTTTGTTGTTTGACGATATTAGGCTCGATGATATCTCGTAATATATATATGAGAAGTTATTTAAATAAATTTTAATTAACTAGAATATTAACATGTTTGCTAATAGCACGATGACAGCTCATATCATATATGATATATAAATATTTGATATTAAGTTTATGTAGGCTTTAAAATCATCATTTTTAGTTGTTTGGTAAGATTTAGGCTAAATCATGCTTAAATGCTACACTAATTATTCTACTAAACATATCTTAAGCGGGGAAATCGGGGCAAGATGGAGTAGAAACAAGATTTAAAATATTATAGTGTTTATCAATTTTTACCTCCTTCATTAGCTAGTTTAAATCTCACTCTTATTTATATATTTATATTTTCAGGGGATTAGTGCATCTGAAGCTAAGGTGATCCAACCATCTGCAAAGCCCAATGTTGAAAAATGATCTACTTAGCAGCCAGCTCAGCATTATATAGATATATATGTAATCTTTGTAATTTGCATGATAAATTAGGGGGCAGTATGTAAAATTTGAAAAAATGGACGCTCTGGTAGCTTTAATGAATTGATTATCAGCGTTAGCAAGTACAAACAGCTGGTGTCTTAAATGATTAATGGTTTCAATGTATGATTGATTGTGCATGCCCGCATGTGGATTGGAGGGCTGTGTTGAGTAAATGGGCGTTGATACGTATGACATGCAGTTGAATGCATCGGGCGCTGGGAAATTGGTTGCCATGCATTGGCTGCATGGAATCGGCAGTTCCCAAATTTTAAAACCTTTTCACACTATCGCTTATAAGTTATAATAACCCGAATTATTTTTTTGATATCTTTAAAATATTTTTTGTGGTGGGAAGTTTTTTATTTGAATATGATCTCTTAAAATATGGTGACTACCGTAAAATAATGATATTTGTAATAGTCATTGCAACTTTTTGAACTCTTGTGTGTTCTGTGGTAGCTTCTTCAAATAGCTGCAGTCACCCCACATTGATCATAAGTTTGTGTTCTGATATTCAAAATTTTCAAAAATTAAGTATTATTGTAGATTTGTAATATTATTTGAGTTAACTCAAAATTGTTGAACTTTCTCAGTTAACATAAATTAGCTATTTGACATGACTGGTAAAATAAGCTTGGTCAAGAACCAATTTAATATTCTTTTAGAAGTCTTGGATAAAAAAGTTCTAGTTATATTTTAAAAAGTTTAAAAATCAATTTAAATATCATTTTTGATAGAAAAATGAGAATTATTATACTCTATATTGAATTGAAATAATATATTCACATGATAGATTAAAGAGAAATAATAGAGTAGAGTAATAAAGACTAATATTTTGAGCCTTGAATTGGCTAATTTATAACAAATTTTAACATATTCAAGTTTGACTAGCCATCAAGATTTACTGACACTATGTCTACATACTTATAAAAAGATGATATTGTTTGTCATTTTCACTCTCATCATCCTCGATAAAGTTGGTCCACTAACAACACTTTTATATTTGCATGGCATGTAGTATTTCACATAAATATTATGACTATATAAGCAAATCAACATGTTATCCTTTATATTACCTAATTTCTAAGTCAATTCTCCATTTAATAAGCTCTTCATTTTTCCTAAAACTAATAGCACAAATAATTATAATAGGACAAGCATATGGCCTAATTGGTCACATGATTAGAACTACCAACAAAAATACAATGAAAGGAAATGGTATGAATGTAAATCATATTAATAATCAAAACATCATAAAGTATTACCATATGATAACTCATAGAAATAATAATTATATATGTAAACTACATATTATGTATAAATTTGTAGATAGTGTTAGATAGATGACCAGTTTAATGGATGTATGATTATGGAATCAGGATGAAAATGTCAAATTTAGTGCTAAATCATTGATGATGAATACTGAACACTAGATTAGACTTTTTCAATAAAATAATCCCGTGTACACATTCGATGACCTTATAAAGTTGTTTTAGAATTTATGTACTTTATAATTGTTAGAGAAAAAAAAAACCTATCAGTTAATATGCACGTCATAATTGATGTCTCATCAAGAAATTTTTATCGTTGGACATGAATCTCTAAGCATCATGAGCAAGAAATATTTCAAATTTAAATTTAAGATTTGGTTCTCGATTTCAACTAGTTTTTAATCAAAATGAGCGTCTTAACAAAATGAACCCAATGATGTCAAAAAGTATCTAATTCGAGTCCAAATAAGTATATGCCAAACACTAAAGTAGTTCAATGCTTTGGTGAATTTAATTGGAAGGCGAACGATCTCAAACTAAAATTTACATGCTTTTATTTAAATTGAGTGTCTCAATGAGAAGAACCCAATAAGCCCAATATCATTCAATTATGATGTCATTAAAGCGCTTAAATATTGAAAAGACTAATTGTGATAAAGGGATTTTACTGTGGGCTTTCTAAGAATGTGTTTTGAGAGATTAGCTAAATTTATCAATGATCGTATAAAAAATTATGAATAACCTTACATTCTTCACTTGAAGGGTGAAGGAGAAGAAAAGTGGGTGAGTTAACTACTAAAGCTTAACTTTTGAAGTCTCAACAGTTGTTCCATACTACTAAAGTTTGTTGTCAACCATTAATAGTCCACATCGATCGCCAGAGGCCATCATTGGACACCACAAACCATGTCGATTTCATGCATGAAAACTACAATTGTTATAACCAATTTTGATAGCTCTGATAAGATTTTCATAGCCATTAACTACAATTACCTCTATAGTCAACCACAGCTTATACAACCAACAAATACAACTGTTATAGTCTTATCATGAAAAATTTAATTAGACTCCAATAATTATAGTGTCAACCACCCTTATACACTTATATCTTTTGGGTAAAGTAGTTATGATTTTAACATAAGCTTATAATCTCATAATCTCCAATCCAATTGAAGAGTGAACATCTATACTCTTGAATATGATCACCTTACAAGATGTTTTACATAAAAAAAAAAAAATTGATGTCTTTTCCCATCAAATTTCTTTTATCTGTGTATGTGTTGGATATCGATGCAACAGTAAGACGCTAAATTATCACTCAATCGCCGCAAATTTCCCATCATTGAACAATACGTAAACAAACTAATGATTGTGAAATAGGTTTCTTATCACAATAATTTGCTAAAATATTAATATAATTGAAAAAAAAAACTGAACTAACCATTCCAACACTAATTAGTTTAGTCTAAACTTTATAATGACTTATATGAATTCTATTACTTGCTCTTTGTACATATCATAACAAAACAAAAGAGAAGATAAATCATATTCCAAAATCCTATGATGACGTCCATATTAATGTTAAGAAATTGATTATATTTTGAAAGTACTCTTAACATACATTTGTCATATAATAATTTAGGATTTATAATAATTTTTGACTTATAAATTTTAACCTCTGAAAATTAAGATGATAAATAATATAGCTTGTCAAATTATCTAATCATCTAGTGATTGTGTTTCAATTTGATTTGAATTTCAGGTAGAAGAAAGCTAGTATGATTATAAATATAGGTAATTACTATGAGAAATAACCATAATAATTAATTTTATTCTTATATCCATATGGAAATCTAAGAATATCATTTTTAGAGTAGAGCCATAATAACTCGAGTTTATAGTTTTGAAATCCACTCCAGATTGAACTAATTTAAAGTTCATGAAATGTAGAAGATGAAGGTCAAGTCACTTTGTTAGTCTCGCAAGAGTTACGACACTCGTGTATTTATAATTTTTTTTCTCTATATTTTTTCATCTCATTTTAATTTGTTATAAATGCATTAATAATAAGTCAGTAATTACAAAAGGAGTTGTGAGGTAAGTTGAGTGATTAATATGACTAAAGGTGGAATCATGTTAAGCACCCCTTTGGAATTTATGATTTTTCTCTATAAAATATTAAATTTAATATTCTTTTCTTATATAATTTAGACAATTTAATAATTTTTCCCCCTCTCAATATATATATATATATCTAATAATTAAACAAATTCAGATATTTTGTGATTTTATTCACCTTAAAAAATAATATTAATTATTATATATATATGTATATATTATTTATATAATAAGCTGATTTTATTATTTTGATTTAATAAAAATTTAAAAGTCATGGATTATGTGCAAATTAGCCGCAGCAGAACTAGCAACTTCCACGTAACGAAGACCGTCCGTTGTTCGTTTCAGATCTTCCTTTCATCACATCGTAACCGTCCATTTCAACATCCTCACATTCTTCACGTTTATCGATTTTTTAAGTCTGTTTGCCGCCTAGTGATATAATGCAGCTCATCAATCGAAATGTTACGGGTAGAGCAAAAAAAATCGTGCAATTTTGGCCGATTCCCGCAGCTTCTCTGCCTCTTTCCCAATTCCAACTTGCTAACTTCCGATTAATGGCGATCTCCTCTCCTCTTTCTGCCATTCGCATTTCAACTCCTCATCCTAATCTATAATAAGTCTTCTTCCTCTCAGCTGCCTTCACTTGGGAGGGAGAACAAGAAGGGAATGAGGATGGCCGTGCGTCTGCATTTCGGAGCGGCTATTCTGCTGCTGTGTTTGGCCGTGGCAATCCAATCTGAGCTGGTAAGTGAAATCGTTCTTAAACTTTTGACTCTTGTTATGAGTTTTTGATAGGTAGCTTTGCCCGAAGTGGAGATAACCTAGCTTATTTTGGTCGTTAACTCCTTTCAATTATATTTTCTTTCTTCAGAAACTGTTTGGTCCTTACTATGGCTCTAATATGAATTCGAATCACACTTTCTTCTTTATTCTTACTGAGAGACTATGATCTGCGATTTTGGAACTATAGGTTATACTCTTATGATGTTTCATGCCAAATTTCGGAGCCCTGGAGTGGTTCTGAAAGCCTTCCTTTTTTTTTTTTTTCATTGTAGATAGGCTTATTTTTTTCCTTAATTTTCTTAACTGCTTTTCGTAAAGGAGGTGGAATCAGTCTTCTGTTTACTCCTAACAGGCTTACTTCCAACTGGGCAGCACCTTGGGCTTTGCTAGGTTCTACGTGTATTTCAAACTTTGATGAATTTGTCAGAATCATGAATTTATAGCTTCTTGGAAACCTGCTGGAGAATGTTTAAACAATAATGGTAGGCAGATGCATTGGGTTTTTAGATCATTGTTGTTAAGTTCACAGAAGCAATGCTTCGTGTTTAGCTTAGTTTTATTGAAGGCGTGAGTTACAAAGAAAAAACAGGCTATTGATGGAAGCCTACCGTTGTCTCCTCATCATCAACAACAATTGCCTTGTGCCAACCATTTAAATTTGTCCTTGTTGAGAAGCCTTTAGTTATTGAAAAAAATTTGTACAAGGCTCCTTGAGAATTTTTTATTTCAAGATTTTATTAGGAAGTTTGAATCAAAGTGGCCCAAATTAAATCTAACACACCAGTAATCAAAACTTCAACCCAAGGGGCTGTATGGCTGCAAGTAGGATTTAGCATTTCATGGATTTTGTGTCAAGGGGGGGGGGGGGGGGGGGGGGGGGGCGAGGGGGGGGGGGGGGGAATGTAGTTAAATCGCGGAAACCGATTTGAGATATCCGAAGCAAAACTTTGAACAGAAGCTAACAAAATGAGAAAACACGGAAAACACAAAGAACATAAGATTTAACGTAGAAAAACCCGAGAATGAGAAAAAAATCAAAGTCACACCACACCATACCAAATAATCTACCATGAAGAAAATGAGGAGAGTTATACAAATTACATAACACCCTACCCTCGCCAAATTTTGGAACACTTCATAACGCTCCTCTCCTCTCCTTTGCGCAAAAGAAATCGAAAACACAACCTCCAATAAAAAAAAAAACTAAAATTTTAATTGAAGAACGACACAAATTTGGTTGCAGGCACCAGGGCGCCGCGATATGGCATTGCGGCAATCCAATGAGTGCTTGGACACTACAGTGTAACGCTCTTGAGTTTTGAATATGGACTGGTTGCTGTAGCACTGCTTGTCTCAGCGCTGCGGCACTGTGACACTCCCCTCCTAGGCTGGAGCGCCTTGTTTTTGGGTTTTGAATCCGGACTGGGCGCTGCAACGTTGTCGTCCAGGCGCTGGGGCACTAGGCATAAACAAAATAAATTTTTGGAGGCAGCGCCCCCAAACCCAATACAAGGGGGACACACCCCATATTACCTGAAAAACTCACCGTCAAGCTTGATTAGAGAAATTGAGGGCTCTAAATAAATGATTGATCAACATGAGGAGTCTCCACATAATAACATTTAAAAAATCCATCCAATCCTTGGATTTGGTAAATTGAATATAAGCCTAATCGAAGCCAAAATTGGGGCTACTGAATCTGAAAATTCATAAATCTACGAAAATGTATTTTATGGTGTTGAACTTAGTAAATACAGTGATAAATTCAATTTAAAGGCACTACCAAACAGTCCCCAAAAAGCTTAAATACCATATCAAACATTGTTTCCCCTAAAATACATTTTTAAACACCATCAAGTATCATGCGCCAGAGACCACTAAACCACGTGATGCATTCATAAAAGTCATTTTCTCTTGAAACTTACTCTACCATGATGAAAAACAACAAAGACTCACGAGACTCACAAGTCATATAAATCACTTTTTCTCAGATACATGGCTCAAATATCATTTCTTTGGGTGTAAAAGTTGAGGGGAGTACAATGGCCCTGTTATATCTATGTTCAAATCCATTTTTAAATCAAAAGTTTAACAAGTTTACTGCTGAGAGACAACCACTTTATATTTTAAATCAATTTGCTATTCTTCTGTCCATTGTTGGATTAATAAAAAACTTAATGTATCTTAACAAATGCAATGCATTTTTAATACTTCATAAGTTCTTTCTTGTTGCATACCAGAAATAACTTTGAGTCTAATGATTCTTAAGGGACACCATCTTAAGCACAAATTTGTTTACTGCACACATTTAATGAATAAATAAGATCTTGTAGAAGGAATTATTTTTAGGAATATGATTTGTTGTCCAAGTTATTGATTGAACTTTAAAACAAATGATAATACTAAAAGTAACTTAGTAGAGCCTCCTTCACAGGGTGAGCTGATGAAATATATGTGTTTTGAAAAATATATAATATGGGAGAAATGGGATTTGAATTTGAGGGATATTGGCTTGAGATAATATCAATGAATCACAACAGAGAATTGACTTGGGATCAATCTACTCTATGAACTCATAACTTTAATGATATGCAAGCTAATAGTTTGAATTCTCATACCTCTTTCGATTATTTTAAGTTTAGAGATTATGAGATCAAAATTTCTAACAAGAATATTGTTCTAACATTTTGTTACGTGCTGACACAGAGGTCGGAGTTGAAAGCTGTAATAATATTTGTAGGTCACAGAGGTCGGAGTTGAGAGTTGCATGTGTTGTGAGCCATGTAGGCCGTAGTTGGTCACATAGGTCGTTTTGGTAAGCTTCAATAACGTCTGTAGGCTATAGAGGTCAGAGTTGGGGGCTATAATTATAGCAGTCGACCACATAGGTTGTAGTAGGGGGAAATTATGAGTGAACTTCAAAAGTCCAGATAAATTGATTGCATATGATTACATCGGTCATAAGATGTTGTCGAGAGTTATTGCCGAATTTCAGTACTACATTATTCATTGTCCCGTACTGGGGGTTTGTTGTTACACTAGATTCAAGATGCCTCGTTACACTATATTCATGGTGTGTTACACCATTTTCGGGATGAGTCGTTATACCACAACGTATATCGTGACTTTGCAAGGTGCTTTATTGTAACACGTGCCATTACCATGCAAGGTCTACAGATAGTGATGAGTATTGGGCGGTCGACGATGGTCGAAGATGGTTGACGGTGGTCGAAGATGATCGACGAGTGATGGTTGATTGTGGTTAGCGGCTGCAGGAGCAGGAAGTGTTCACATGGCCTCCGAATCGTGAACTACTTTCAGATTCTTATCCTCTTTCTGATCCAACTCTAGGTCGCCCTCTTCCCCCCTCAATGAAGGGAGTGGGGCTTTATTTATAGATTCTGGGATTGACATCCCCTATAAATAATGCAGGAATCTGGACCACTTCATCCTAGACAACAGTTGAGAGGTGCTTTTCTCTCTCTTTTTATATATAGAGCTTAAAGCTTTTAATTTAGATGATGAAAATCAATAAAATCAAGCTTGGATGATTCATTGAGATCAAAATAAGCTACCTTAAGCTTTCTATAGTAATTCTTAAGATTTCTAAGGTGATTCAGTGGGAGGCGAGATGTTTACCTAAGGATGATTGGAGAAGTAAAGGCCTCCATCAAAATTGATTGCTATTCATTTCTCCTCTCTTGAACAACATTAGGGTGCTGCTAAAGAGTCAAGAGAAGGGATTGAGTGCCCCTTCGAAAATCCCTTTTAGTTTCCACTTATTTCTCTCATTTTTTTTAATTCGAGGAAGTGATGACATGTCTTGCAATGTGTATCAATGGCTGAGATGGCTATTGGGAAGATAAGACAAATTGTTCTTAGCTATACCTATAGTTAGATTAAGCTAATTTTAGTATATGAGGGAGTTTAGCCAAGATTTGACAATTTTGGATTCAGGGTTTGATTAAGATTTCCAGTAATTGATTAGGTGGGTACATAAGCTTTGGTGGCAATTTTGAGGCGAATGACAAGTTTCTTGTACCCAACCATGGGATTTAATTCATTTAAATTAAGCTTTTGGCTTAATTTAAAACCAAATATGTTGAATTTGACCAAGATCTATATTTGAGAAATTTATTTTGGTTGATTATGGTGGGCTTCTGATATCGTAATAAGACAAAATTGAAATTTGCAGTTTTGAAAATTCCAAAAGAAATGAGGAGAGCCGGGCCAAAAATCCCAAGAGAAATGATGCATTAGCTGAAAAGAAACATGATTGCCACTTGGGTCCGCATCACTTTAGGGTGTTGAATACACTTCTTAACTTAGAAGGATACATAAAATGTTATTACAACCAATCAAAAACTCTCAGTCTTATATAAACAAGCTCTAAACAAAAACAAAAAATTTAAAAATAAAGACTTAATTACAAGTATGACACCCTACTGAAAACATAATTTCAATTCCCGCGTCATTCTACTGGAGTCGACAGGGGTTTTTCATGAAAAGAAGTTTCAGAATCGGTTTCATAATGCAGAGTCAAGTCAGCGATGTTGAATGCAGTAGAAATATTGCAGTCTCTGGGGATATCAATTTGATAAGCGTTGTCATTAATACGTTTCAAAATTCGGAAAAGGCCCATTTGTTATGGCCTTGAGCTTCCCATGTCTTACCGGAGGAAACACCCTTTCTTTAGTCGAATCCATACTGTCTCCTTCTTTGAAATGATCACCCTTATACTCTTGTTTGCTTGTCGTTGATTTATTTAATTTTTCTAATAGTATTCTCACGAACTAATTTATGCTATTTTTGAATTTCTTGTAGTAGAACCTCAATATAATAAATGATCTTAATTTATTAGAACTAAATGAAAATATGAAACTAAGAAGGACACAATGGACAAAAAGGATTCATGTAGCCTATCCACGTAACCCTAAACCCCACGTAGTGGGATTAAGGCT